GGGGGTGAGCGGACCTTATACTATCGCTCTTCACTAAGTCTGATAGAAAATACATGTGTTTGGCACGAGCATTTTATACTTATTTAATTAAGTTTAGGTGCCGTTTTTGAAAAATATAATATCTTTAATAGTGAATTACTGTTATCGTTATATGAGTTACTAAGTCAAATTAAATTCAAATGATGGCCATGCTTATGTTTCCATCATTTTATGTTGATACAATTGTTGATCTGAATGCGAATACATTACATAATTAAATTTAAGAATCGAAATCTGAAAACAACTATAAAAAGAAAAAGTCACGAATATTATATATGGCGGCACTTGTAAATGTGTTTTTTTTGTTATAGTAATAAAAATGATGATGTTCAATAGACATTTTCACTTATAAGTATGAACATAATCTTAATAAATGACAATGCGTATTATAATGCCCAGAATCATTTTATTTCCGTTGTTGTGACAACAGCCTCTAACATGGCGCTGGCCGCGCCTACGCGGGTGGCGGCATCACCGGATATCAAAGGCGCTTCACAACTGTAAGGTCTTGAAAGTGTGCCGTCTATTTATACTTAATCAGGCCCTTGCAACATTTGTTTTTTCTGCCAGGAGTACAAATTGAAGTGATCACTGGTGCTTTTATAGGGACAACAGCGTTAATGCTAACCTACACGAAAAAGTCGTCGGCCCCATCCAAATGCCTACAGATATCATGTAACAACATAGACAAGAGCAAAAATTGCTATATACTTTGCGTATTTGATGATTACAGCCGCTCCGTTCGGCAACTCCGTGACGGAGCGGCTTAGCAATGTGTTGCAGCACTAAAGGCTGCGGGTTGGAATCCCGCATGGAACAAGTATTTGTATGGCCTACAAGTAATTGTTCCGAGTTTGTATGTTTGGGCTTTGTGAATATTATTGCTTTGTGAAGTTTATGTTTGTAAACTGCTCACTATAAAAAAAATTATATATAATAAGTATGACAAACGACACACTCGGCTCACCTGACGTAAGTGGGTGCGGTGGTTTATTTATTTACAGTTGGAGGGTTAACAGGAGTAATTTTAGCCAATTCTTCCATTGACGTAACATAACACTTATTATGTTGTAGCTCATTTCCATTATGTTTTATCTATAGGAGCTGTATTCGCAATTATAAGAGGATTTATTCAATGATTCCCTCTGTTCACAGGATTGTCATTAAATAATTACTAATTAAAAATTAAAATTTAATCAATATTTATCAGAGTAAATTTATCATTTTTTCCTCAAAATTTTTTCGGTTTATCAGTAGATAGAGATAAAGTGTATAAATTACTAATTTTCTCCTCGATTAGGAATCAAAATGCTAATTTCATTATCACCCCTGAGAAGTAAGACGGAATACCTTGTTTCTAATAAAAACGGTTATACGCGAACACTACACATTGAAATAATACTAGTTTTTTACGGAATTTATCGCGTATATTTAACTTTTTAAAAATCCGATGTTTCGAACGCTTTACAGCACTCATGGTCACGGGCGGGACTGAGATGTTCAACGTCCATATGTCATGGTTAACCGCGGTTACCATAGATTAAAATTTAACTTTTGTTCCGATCTATACAGTATGAACTTATGGTATCTTGAAGTCTTGCAGTTTTATGCTTGGGTTGGGATTTAATTTTATTTATTATCGGATCCCAAGCAGATGGTAGCACCCAGCCATCTTCTCCATTGAAATTAGGATGTTTTTTGATTTCAATAGCCTCGCGAATCAGCCTTGGAAGGAATCGGTGTTCTTTAGTGAGGATTTGCGGTCTATTAAATATGATGTAGTGACGGGGGCGATCCTGTACGTGTTCACAGACTGCAGACTTCCCGGAGCGTCGATTCTTCACATCAGCTATATGTTCTTTAACGCGGGTTTTTATTGATCTTTTAGTTTGTCCTATGTAGGAGAGACCACATTCACAATCAAGTTGTACACTCATGCATCGTGCAGAGGGACACTACACTTGACTGATGGTAAAAACTGCCAAATCTTCTTCAGCGGCTTGAAGTATGTTTTGATGGAAGCACGCTTCAAGATGTAGCCAATCTTGTCAGTGACTCCTCTAACATATGGCAGTACAGCAGGTACACGATCGACTGTGCCGGCTTTACTCGTTCACTGTGACGTAGGCGCGGGACTCGAAGCATGTTGTCATGCAAAACTTGCTTGACATGGTGGAGCTCAGCAGTCAGGTGTTTACTGTCACAGATCTCTCGTGCTCTCTGAAACAAAGATTTACCCACGGTAGCTAACTGTGAAGGATGGTGGTGAGAATCACCGTTTAAATATCTATCTGTATGGGTCTTTTTTCTATACACAGTATGGCCCAAGGTGTTATCAGGATTCCGAATTACTAACACATCTATCTTTTTTACCATCAGTCAAGTGTAATGTCCCTCTGCAAGATGCAGGAGTGTACAAGCTTGATTGTGAATGTGGTCTCTTCTACATAGGACAAACTAAAGATCAATAAAAACCCGCGTTAAAGAATGTATAGCTGATGTGAAGAATCGACGCTCCGGGAAGTCTGCATGCAGTCTGTGAACACGTACGGGATCGCCCCCGTCACTACATCTGATTTGATAGACCGCAAATCCTCGCTAAAGAACACCGATTCCTTCCAAGGCTGATTCGCGAGGCTATTGAAATCAAAAAACATCCTAATTTCAATAGAGAAGATGGCTGGGTGCTACCGTTTGCTTGGGATCCTATAATAAATAAAATTAAATCCCAACCCAAGCATACAACTGCAAGACTTCAAGATACCATAAGTTCATACTGTATAGATCGGAACAAAAGTTAAATTTTAATCTATGGTAACCGCGGTTAACTATGACATATGGACGTTGAACATCTCAGTCCCGCCCGTGATCATGAGTGCTGTAAAGCGTTCGAAACGTCGGATTTTTAAAAAGTTAAATATACGCGATAAATTTCGTAAAAACTGGTATTATTTCAACGGTTACCTATTCTCTATACATGCCATACTAAAAAAGTGTAATATTAAGCTGCTATTTCAAGCTAAAGTTAGCTAAGTATGTTGTGAGAGCGTGTTCTTTCATCGCTCAAATCGTTAATTTATTTATTTTAAATAAGAATGTACATTACATACGAAATGTACATACAAATGTCAAAATTACATTAACAATAGAATAGAATAATTTTTGTTCAATATATACTACAATAATATTTATTGAAAGTCATTATGATTTTACTACAGGTCAGAGACAAAACGTCTAACCTAGATAGATCAGATATGGACTCTTTTGTACACTAAACTATTATACAATTTATTATTTTGCATATGAGAACATTTAGAAAGAACCTCATAGCGATCAGATAGATTTGTACACGGTAGAGCCACGCTGCAGCTATATTATGGTTGTAACACGAATGGAATGACGATGAATGAATGGACTGAAGGGAAGGACCACGCTTTCGCAGAATACCAGTGTAAAATAGCAGCTTCATACTACTGTGTATCGTAATGTGAGTAAAGAGATCCGGAGACCCTTTTTTACTGAAAACGAGGCATTCCATCTTAGTCCTCAGGGGTGACAGCTCATCTGCGTTTTTATTCTTAATCGAGGATAAATGTAGATATCTATACGTCACAGCATCCACTTACCATCAGGTGGATTATGTGCTCGTTTGTCACCCTTATTCTATAAAAAAGCTTATTAGCAGATGCTATTATCAATCATGTATTCTTTGTGAAGTTTAATTACGATATTGGAAGAAACGGGTTTGATGGGCACATTTTCATTATATTATCTTCCAATACGCTAGCGATATCCCTAAAAGCCTCGATAAATGTATCACGTTACTGTTCCAGTTCACTAGACCGAAATATTCATATCTACGTCCGCTTTTGACGTGGCTGCGCCATAGCTGTTATTTGATATATCGTTTGTTCATTTAGAGAGGCTGAAAGCATTTTTTTTTTCAATTAGTTAAAATGAGCTCATTGTAACCTTTATTAGCAGGGAGTAAATATCTTCTATCGTATGTAATGATTTTAATTGTAACTTATTTCAGCAAAATTAATGTCACAAATGAGCTGCCTGCTCTCGATCATGTCTTAGTCCTATTTATAAAAATAAAAGGTGCGATAACACTTACTAGGACTGGAAGTAATGCATCCCCTTCGGTAATTGTTCTTGTTATGGATAACTCTTTAACGGGGAAAGAGCAATGTTGAGAGAGTGCACTGCTGCTAGAAATAAATAAACTGCAATAAAACACCAAAATATTAACTGTTTTAGTTATTTAAATTTTCTAGAGCGTTTACGACAACATTTAAAGCCTGAAAGCTATATAAAAGCTTTAAGTGAGATAAAAAATTAATAAACAAACATTTGTCAATGTTTTTTTTAAACGTTCGTTTTCTTTGTGTAGATTAACAAAATATATTATATAAACTTCGTTTAATGCTTTGAAAAAAAGTTATGAACGATTACATGCGAAGAAGTGCGTTTATGATCACATTTAAAGTCATAACACTATACGAAATCTTGAGGTGAGATATTTTCCAAATTTTTTTTCATAAATCTGCCGTATAAACAAAGATTTTAAAAAAACTTTTAAAAAAGTCATTGAACTCGGATGATTTTTCGATTTTCTAGAGCCAAAAAACGAGGGACCGCACTAGTATAAAATTGCCAATATTTTATAAGGTTAGAAAGTGATATTAACATTAACCTTTACACTGATTAAACCTAAGTATCTATATGTAACTTATATGTCCAAAAATATTGTGATGCAGAATTTTCTTTAAATTTATTTGAGGACAGTTCCATCACACATATAAATCATAAAAATTATCGTTTTACTCAGCGCACACTATGAAAGCTTCAAAAATATCATCAAACTTCAGGTATATTGCACAAAATATTCATCAGTTATGTTCCTTAACCTTAACCGCAAATCAATCTGTCTATTGGTAAAACCCAAATGAAAGTCCTTATAAGAGTTTCGCATAAGGCTCAAGATATTTATATACAGACAGATGCAGTCGTGGCGGGGGGAACTGTAATTTATAATATTATGCTAGATAATTTAGTTAACGATATTAAATAATCACTTTTTATATCTGAGTAGCATTTATTTATTTTTATTATATTTATTTGAAACTTCAATGTCATTTAATGTATTTGAAATATTATTTTTATTTAGGATAATATATCCAGTGCTATGTTAAATACATTTTTGATATTTTTTAGAATACAGTAAGATCAGACAGATAAGGTCTGAAAACTTTCGAATCTAGATATTGATATTCATAAGTAATTAACGAATGTTAAACTCCTCGAGCGAAACCAAAACGTAGAAAAGAAGAATAAAATAGATTTATTTCATAAAACAACATTACAAAATATAAATGAATAATAATACAATACTGTAGGGACACAATATAGGTACATATAATATATTGGCTCTTTAGATTGCGTGTCCGGTGTCCTACATCACATTCATACTTGTTTAATTATAACAGCTAGTGTATGTGTAATATGTATAATATTTATAGGTGTGGCGGCTGCGTCCGCCACGTTTAAAAATGAGTCGCAAATATATCCCCGTTTACACGACACGTGTCTTCATTAATTGCAACCTTAATTGTACAGCTTAGTCGACTTAACAATAAAATAATTATAAATACAGTACTCATAAGACTGTACACTGGTGACCCCGACGTGATCGACCGGTGTCCTACATCACATCTATACTTGTTTAAGTATAACAGCTATATGTATGGTAATATGTATAATAGTTATAGGTGTGGTGGCTGCGTCCGCCACGTTTAAAAATTAGTCGCAAATACATCCCCGTTTACACGACACGTGTCTTCATTTATAGCAACCTTAATTGTACAGCTTAGTGGACTTAACAATAAAATAATTAATTAATTAAATACAGTACTCATAAGACTGTACACTGGTGACCCCGTGAAGAACCGTTTATGAAATAGTGTCGGTACAATATCTATCCGCAACCCGGACCTGCGCCATTTTCAACAGCGCCGATCTCGCCCGCGCCGGTATCACCGCCTACCCAGGGCGAGCAGCTCGACGGAGCCCGCGCAGATGGGCCGCTGGCGAGTCAGCGTTTCTTCTAGAAACCCACTCGGACCAACCCCCCCTCAGGCCGTCAATAGAAAACCAGAAAATCGGGGATGCGTGCCAAGCAAAACCTGGTCGTAACTAAATTAAGCAAGAGCGCTATACAGCAGGTAAGTGATCTACTGCTGTCGCCGCCATTCGAAAGGAGGTATCAGATGTTGAAAGATCGGTTTCTGCAAGTGTTTGAGGAATCAGAGACTAGACAATTTCAGAAAGTACTGGGGGAGATGGAGCTCGGCACTAAAAAGCCATCGCAGCTCTTACGTCGGATGCGAGACCTCACGAGGAATAAAATGCCAGACGCCACACTCCAGATTATGTGGACCAGACATTTGCCCACGGCCGTTCAAGCTGTTCTAGCTGTCAACGAGGTAAAGTACCTGGAAAGCCTGGCGACGGTGGCGGATAATGTGATGGAAGTGACCAGGCCGCCAGAAATTGCCGAAGTCAGCAGCGTTACATCCAGCAAGCTCAGTGATTTAGAGGACACTGTGGGTAAACTGCAGATCGAATTAGCAGAACTACGTCGGTCGAGGTCGAATCAACGCAACAATAACTCAAGTAACAGGGGGAAAACGGGGCGATTAGGATCGCGGCAACGCAGCGGCAGTATGTCCCGGAAGAACCTGAAGTGGTTATGCTTTTACCATCATCGTTATGGTCCCAAGGCCGTGAAGTGCGTCGACGCTTGCAATTGGACTGGCGCGAAGCCATCTACGCCGTCCGCAACAGGGAAACTAGATATGATACAGTCTGGGGCGGATGCATGTATCGGTTTGCATAATAACCGCCTATGCGTTTTCAACAAAAATACCGGACTTAAGTTTTTAATTGATACGGGTGCCAATGTATCTGTGATTCCTGTGGTGAAAAAGTGAGCGTCTTTTCCTATCGCGAGTGATGATTACAAGTTATATGCGGCGAATGGAACTTAAATCAAAACCTATGGTATGCGTACTCTAGTTTTAAATTTTAATTTAAGGAGAGCATTTAGATGGTCTTTTATTATAGCGGATGTTAAGCAGCCTATAATCGGCGCCGACTTTCTAAGCCATTATAAACTGTTGGTAGATTTACACGCGCGGAAATTAAGAGATCAAGTTACGCATCTAAATGTTCTCGCCTCGACAGTAGCGTACAATAGTAACGATGAGTCGTCTATTAGAACCATAGATAGTAAAAATTAATGGCACGATATAAGTACCCGGATTTGACTAAATCTGTGCCTTATAAAGAGACTCCTAAACATTCCGTATGTCATTACATCGAGACAACAGGCCCAACCGTCCATGCGAAGGCTAGGCCTCTACCTCCGGATAGGTACAAGCGGGTTAAGGAAGAGTTCAAGCTTATGGTAGATCTAGGAATATGTAGACCATCTAAAAGTGCATGGGCAAACCCTTTACACGTTGTCCCTAAAAAAAAACGGGGACATTCGTCCATGTGGCGACAACCGTAAGTTGAATGCGATAACTAAGCCCGACCGCTATCCTATACCAAGGCTGCAAGATTTTAAGTACGTGTTAGCCGGTAATAAAAAGATATTTACCCGATTAGATTTGAAACGACTATCATTTCATTAACTACGAATAGGATATTGAGAAGACTGCCATAATTACACCGCTTCTGATTGTTTGAGTTTCCGCGCATGATCTTCGGATTGAGAAACGGAGCCCAAACTTTCCAAAGATTTATGGATTCGGTGGTCCCCACGAGGTAAATGAATAAGAAGTCAAGGTCTTGACTTCTTATTCATTTACCTCGATGATGTCATCATCCCCAGTGACTACATAACCAGCCATAGAGAACATTTAAACAAGGTTTTTCAAAGGTTTAACGAGTATGGGGTGACGATAAATGTTTCTAAATGTGACTTCGGTAAGGCAAAGTTAGAATTCTTAGGATATTAGGTGTCGTCGGAGGGAGTACGTCCCCTTGACCGCAAGATGCAGGCTATCGTCAGTTATCCGAGACCGGAAACCGTCGAGCAGCTACACCGATTCTTAGGTATGTTGATTTTTACCGATCTCATATTCCTAATGCCACCGACTATCAGGCAGAACTTAACGCGTATTTGCATAATACTAAAAAGCGCGATAAAACTTAAATTAACTGGACTGATAAGGCCAACGAAGCATTTTTGAAGTCTTAAGAGAGCGGACTTAGCGCTGATGACCGACGCTTCAAACACTAATATCGGTGCAGTATTACAACAAAAGGTAAATAATATTTGGCAACCACTTGGTTTTTTCTCAAAAAAGTTGTCTGAGTCTGAAAATAAATACTCAACTTACGATAGGGAATTGTTAGCAGTTTATATGGCCGTCAGACATTTTAAAAATTTATTGGAAGGTCGCATTCTAACAATTTTACGGATCATAGGCCGCTAGTGTATGCATTCCTTAAAGTCGGTAACAATAAGGAAAGTCCGAGGAGAGTCCGACATCTCTCGTACATAAGCGAGTTTACCACTGATATTCGCTATATTAGTGGAACACAAAACGTAGTGGCCAACGCTTTATCGCGCATAGAAACAGTAAAATGTCCAACAATGTTAGATAAAACGGACATGGCATTACAACAAGCTAGTTACAAATACCTACAACAAGCATTAAAAGTGTCGGATAGCAACTTGCAGTTTAAGCAGTGTCATTTGCCCGGCTGTGAGAAGCCTGTGTATTGCGAAATCTCATCAAGTAATATTAGACCTTATTTACCGAAACAATACAGGCAGTCAGCATTTCATTCCTTGCATAACCTCAGTCATCCCGGCATTAAAACAACCAAAAACTTAATCAAGTTTCTTTAGGCATGATAGATCGCGATGTAGCAAAGTGGGCACGGGCATGACTTAATGGCCAAAAGGTTACAAGCCACACTGTATCGGGTGTAGGGCAGTTTGATCGACGCGATCGTTTTCAGCATTTACACATAGATATATTAGGGCCATTACCTATATCGGCTTACGGTCATAGATACTGTGTAACAATGATAGACCGGTAGAATAGTGTTTGAAGGTTGGATCTCTCGTTTCGGATGCCCTTCGAAGCTGACCAGCGACCAGGGTAGACAGTTTGAGAGTGACCTCTTTCACCAGTTAATGAAATACTTAGGGATTCACAAATTGCGCACCACGCCTTATCATCCACAGAGTAACGGCATGGTTGAGCGTTGGCATAGAGCACTAAAAGTGGCTTTAATGGCACGCTTAAAATGCAACAGTTCATGGGTAGATAAATTACTAGTAGTGCTATTAGGTCTACGCGGCGCTACTAGAAGTGACAGTGGTGTGAGCGCAGCTGAATTAACTTACGGTAAATCAATCAGATTACCGGGTGATTTCTTCGAAGATGCGAAATTTGGCGATACGGATTCGGAATATTTACAAACGTTACGGGATAATATACGTAATTTGAATCCGAGATAATCGTGCCACAGTAATTCGCGTTCGTTATTTATTCCTAGTAGTTTAGATAATTGTAAATATGTATTTGTTCTGAATGATTTGATACGAAAATCTCTTCAACCCCCTTATGATGGCCCCTATAGCGTCATAAGCAGTAGATGGAAAATTTTTGTCATAAAAATAGGAGAAAAAGAAAGTACTATTTCTATGGATAGGTTAAAACCCGCGCACATTCTGAACGAAGACGATTTAAACAGTAACATTAATTTTAGTGAGGATAGTTGTAACGATAGTTTTGTTAGCACATATAACGCATACACTTCTACCAAAGTTTTAATTCCAAAAACTACGCGAAGTGGCCGCGTTATCAAGACGCCAGTACGTTTTGCATTGTAATCTATTCTATTCTGAATAGAACGTGTCATCGTTACTTAGGATTAGGTAGGTTCGATATGATTACGATTGTCTTAGGTTCGATTTCTGACCTACATATTTAATAAGTGTAACAGCCTGTCAGTTTAATTTACTCAATCGTGAATTGTTTATTTTATTAGTTGTTATGGTTTAGGTAATCTCTAGGTAATCAAATATATAATAGAAAAATTCCAATGTTATATTTTAAGCTTTATTGTAGAACTCTAAAGAGTAAACTATATGTACTATAATTAGCTGTAATAATATTTAGCAATCATTTATACCTTAGTAGGCACCTATCCTTATGCTACGTAGTTGCGAGTTGCATAGCATGCATTTTGAAATAGATCAAAGTACGTAATTAATAAGGTAACTTTTTAGTTATTTAAGCATTTTAATTGTCATGTCATTAGAAATCATTGTTAATGTAACATATATATAAACGATTTTTCGTATCTATATTCGTTCAAATTGCTTCATTGTAGCTAGACGTATGTATCTAGAATTGTTCGGATATGTGATGAAGTCAGAGTAAAGAAGAAAATACGAGCGACAGCGTAGTAGCTCAGACTGTCAACAATCGTTCAGATTATAAGCTAGAATGTATCAGCTGGATGATGACCGCACTGGTGATATTGTTCGTCCTCGTAGTGGGATACCTACTACGACGCCGCTGCAAATATGTAGTGATAGGCTGGGTAATGAAGCAGAGCGTAAGCAATCCGACCTTGGTGAGGGTGCAGGTGGTTCCCAACCAAGCCGCAACTACGCCTGCCGGTTTTGCGTAGTGTGTATAAAAGTGCGAGTATTAACCTAGTGTAAATTAAGTGTTTATCTTTGTATAAGGAGGGGAATGGTGTAGGGACACAACACAATAGGTATATATTGGCTCTTTAGATTGTGTGTCCGGTATCCAACATCATATTCATACTTGTTTAAGTATAACAGCTATATGTACGTGTACTATGTATAATAGTGTTACGAGCTTGCAGGTTCGTGACAATAAAAATTGCCGATAGAATTATCTAAATTAAAACTTTAATTTTCTTTACACCAATTAAAGTTAAAACACTAATAATTAATCACACTGATTCACTTTATTCCGCTCCGAAGCTTCGCTTGTCTCGCCAACTTCAATACTTCACCGATTGCATTTTGCAGCGCCTATAAATATAAATTATCACCGAAATATCCAGAATATTCAAGTAAACACGCGCAAGGTATCGAGAGTTCGAGTTTCAACTTCTAGAAGTTTAGTTCTTCGGTTCGAGATTAGATGGCGCTGACGGTTGAAAGATTAGTGATGTCATTTTCTGGAAAGTTCCACTCACTCTCGTCTCTGACACTAGATGGCGCTAGTGACGTCGACTTAGGCGCGTAATACTGCCCCCTCCTAAGACATGCTCGTCCCGAGCATTATCGGCCCCATAATAACGCGCCAGGCGATCCACATGGACGATCTTAGGAGTCCCTCTTGCGCCTTTCTGTATCCGGTAGGTTACATCGTTGATCCTGGTCACAATCCGGTATGGGCCGTCCCATTTAGCTTGCAGCTTAGGAGATTTCCCTTTGCTGTGGACTGGATTGTGCAACCACACTAGTGAACCTTCGTCGAACCCTTTATTGTTTATTTTGCGGTCGTACCGGGTTTTCATCTTCTCAGACATTTGCTGGCCCGATTGTCTGACGTGCTTATAAATGTCATTCATTTTGTTCCGCAAGTCATTTGCATAATCGGTTATACTGCGTGGGGTATCAGGTGTTATCCCGGTGATCAGGTCTGCAGGCAGCCGTAATTCTCTTCCAAAGTTTGCGAAAGCTGGTGTCACTGCTGTACTTTCGTGAACAGCGCTTCGATATGTCAACAAAAACGGTTGTATGTGCTTGACCCAATCTCGTTGCCGATTGTCTACAACTATTGCTACGTACCCCTCCAATGTCTGATTAAATCGTTCCACCATTACATCAGATTGCGGGTGATAAGAAGTCGTTCTTGTTTTATGAGTACCCATAACTCGGCAAATTTCCAGGAATATTTGAGACTCACAATTCTTTCCTTGATCTTCTCTTGGTCACCATTCCGTTGAGACAACACACAGCCAAGTCCTATATCACTTGCGTCTGTGTCAACTATAAATGCTTTGCTTGCATTAGAGTATCCCAAAATAGGTGTTTTGCACAGACGGTCCTTGAGCTCCTGGAAAGCGATATTGCAACTTTCATCCCAGCAGAAATGTCGCCTTATTATTATATTCTCCTCGGTTAGCTTATAAAGAGGTTTGGCTATATTTGCAAAGTTCTTCACAAATCGCCGGTAATAGGAGCACAAACCCAAAAATGCTCTAACCTGCGTTTTGTCTTTTGGAATCGGACAATACTTGACAGCGGCGATTTTCTCTGGATCCGTGCGGATACCTTCTTCCGATAATACATACCCCAAAAAGTTAACTTGCCGTTTGAATAGTGAACATTTCTTCGGACTCAAATTGAGGTTGGCATTCTGATTATTCATGAACACGCGTTCCAGGTTTTGAAGGTGTTCCTCAAACGTCCGGCCTACGATGATGATGTCATCCAAGTAGACCAGACAGGCATCGCCAATTAGCCCGGTAAGTACAAGTTCCATTAGCCTTTCAAACGTTGCTGGAGCATTGCACAACCCAAAAGGCATTACTTTAAATTCCCACAGACCCTTTCCTGTCGAGAACGCAGTTTTCTCCTTGTCCTTAAGGTCAATTTCAACTTGCCAGTAGCCACTTTTTAGATCCAGCGTGCTAAACCACTTTACTCTTGTAAGCATGTCCAGCGTGTCATCAATTCTTGGCAAGGGATAGCTGTCCCTCTTTGTAACGTCGTTCCGACGGCGGTAATCAACACAAAACCGCATGGTTCCATCCTTCTTCTTTACCAGCAATACGGGTGAACACCATGGACTAGATGAAGGTTCAATAATACCATCCTTCACCATTCCCTCAATCATGGTTTCCACTTCCTTTTCACGTGCTACCGGCAACCTTCTTGGCCGCTGACGGATAGGCAATTCTTCTCCTGGGTTTATTTTGTGTTGAACTAAGCCAGTCTTTCCCATGTCAGCATCGTTTGATGAGAATACATCGGCGTACTTGAGTAACAACTTCTTCGCCTTGACAAATTCGTTCGGGGAGAGAACACTGCGACAGTCTTCTAAAAGTGTGATCACTCTCGTTTCTGAATCCTTGCTGGGGGTTCCACTCGATATATATTGACACCGACGTAACCAATCTGTGTACTCACAGGTACTAACCAGTGTGCCTTTTTCTATAATCTGTTCCCGGTCATAAAGGTTCAGCACACGTACTCCGGAGATGTCAGTGGTCCTGATCAAGGTTCGAGCTACTTTCCATCGAAGGTCATTGTTTACCCTTTCCACAAGTACACAACAGTGAGGTTGCCCAGCGTTTCGAGGAAGACTAACCGGAACAAACGTTTCCGATCTCAGCGGAAGAACAATCTCCTTAATGTTGTACATGTTCCCTGGTAACGCACTTTCCATAAAAAGTTCCTCCTGTCCACATTTCTAAACACCTTGCTTAACGTCGATTTCACAACAATTATTCCTCATAAAGTCTAAACCTAGGATGCAGTCGTCCATTATATCAGCCACGATGACATTATGCAGATAGATCACGTTGCCTAGATTTAATTCCATCTCCTTCTCTCCACGGACGGTATACGCTGACCGGGTGCTGTTACCAAATTAATGCGTTCTCGGTTGTATGCCCCCAGGAAGTCCCCAAGGAACTGACTTATTAGTTGGGAACTAACAACCGTATGAGAGGCTCCAGTGTCTATGGTCAGTTTACACGGCATTCCGTTGACCTCGCTCTTGATGATTAGACTGTTCCCATCATGGGTTTGTGAGATCGAGATCCTTGGGGCTCTTTTAACATCAGCCAGCACCCGTCCCGCAGTTCTGGCTTTCACTCGTTTCCCTGCTGCTGCTGGGCGGTGCTGTTGGCCGCACTACCCTCTTGAGATCGTTCACCTTCCCTTTCTAGGGTTTGCTTAGGGCAGCTGGATCGAAGATGGCCCTTTTCCCCACAGCCATAGCACCTAGGGCTGTATCCTTTGTTGCGGTCGCGAACTGTATCTGCTGCAACCTCCCTGACGCGATGGGAACGATGATCCTGCCGCACGGCTTCCACCTCCAGTGCATGGGCCAAGGCGCCCTCAGCGTCTCATGGTGCCTGAGCCTCACACCAGCTCTCACTTCCAGTTCGCGGATGCCGTCGATAAATGTCTGCACCAGATTCCCTTCAATGAGCGCAGGTACAGACCGGTATGCTTTTCGCACCAGCTTCTCCACTGCTAGAGCCCACTGCTGCAGGTTTTCGTTGATGCGCTGCACGCGATTTTTTAAGCTGCGCACGAAAGACGTGTTCCAGGTGAGCGTCGCCATATCTCGCCTCCAATGCCTCAAGGAGTTGCTCATAAGTCACTTCCTCACCGAGAGCTTCCAGAACTGTTAAGGCCTGGTCGCACAGGCCTAGTGTGAGATCAGTCATGGCCTGACTTTTATTCCAGCCGTTCGCCTTCATAACAGCCTCGAACTGGATTTTTTAGGCTGACCAGGAAGAGATACCGTCGAACGGTGGCACCTAGAACCCACGTAGCGAAGGTGTTGTAGCTACTACGGGAGCTGTAGCTCCATCTCCAAGTTTGAATTCGTCCAATGATTTCTTCATGTCAGCCATTACGTTGTCAATCCGAACCCAGCTTCCGACAGGTGGTTGTCATGCTGAGCAACCCTATCCTTCACCTCCTTTATCTCCTTCCCGAAGGTAGCGTGAAGGTCCTTCATGTGGAGCATCTGCTCTTCCAACCGACAGGCCTGTTCCTCTTGTCCGCTCCGCAGCTGCTCTTCCAATCGGCGTGCCTGTTCCGCCTGCTGGCGAATCAGAGCACCCAAGTCAGGTGCTGCAGATGTAGGGGCTATTGACGGGCCTGCAGCCGGTGGCTGGCCCTCCGACGTCTGCGGCGTTGCACCACCAAATCTTCTTTGGTCCGTCTCCTGCTGGCGTTGACTTCGGGTACGGACACCCTCCGTTTCCTCCTTAGGTAAAATCGGCATGATTTTATCCCACTTCTGACACCAATTGTTACGAGCTTGCAGGTTCGTGGCAATAAAAATTGCCGATAGAATTACCTATATTAAAACTTTAATTTTCTTTACACCAATTAAAGTTAAAACACTAATAATTAATCACACTGATTCACTTTATTCCGCTCCGAAGCTTCGCTTGTCGCGCCAACTTCAATACTTCACCGAGCGCATCTTGCAGCGCCTATAAATATAAATTATCACCGAAATATCCAGAATATTCAAGTAAACACGCGCAAGGTACCGAGAGTTCGAGTTTCAACTTCTAGATGTTTAGTTCTTTAGTTCGAGACTATGTGGCGCTGCCGGTTGAAAGATTAGTGATGTATTTTTCTGGAAAGCTCCCCTCGCTCTCGTCTCTGACACTAGATGGCGCTAGTGACGTCGACTTAGGCGTGTAATAATAGTTATAGGTGTGGCAGCTGCGTCCGCCACGTTTAAAAATTAGTCGCAAATATAACCCCGTTTACACGACACGTGTCTTCATTTATTGAAACCTTAATTGTACATTATTGCTTAGTGGACTTAACAATAAAATAATTAATTAATTAATTAAATAATTTACTCATAAGACTGTACAAATACAATGTCTTGATTTCTTAGTTAAATGTTTTCACGCATCCGTCAAATATAATATGCAATCCTATTAAAATTAAAATAGTTACCTTAAGTAACTTTACTCAATTTATTTTTTATTCATGATGCTTAATTTTTTAAAAATTATGATTTTCCTTTACATCGTGGAGGCAGTTTATATACATTAAATATGCATAATAATTGTAATTTGGAGGTTATATAAATACTTGTTCCGTGCGGTAGTCTAACCCGCGTTCTCAGAGCCACAACTTGATGCTAAACCACTGCACTATGTAGCCCACATCACGTTTTATGTTGGAAATTACAACAATTCTAACCAAAGAGGATTCGTGGGGATCAAAGAATTTCAATAGACATGAAGGCTTGGTGCTAAGAATTTTCTTGTGGTTAGTTAGTTTATTTTTTGTAAGTTAAACCAAAAATATTACTAACAACTTCCCCGTTCGCGAAATAGACACAATAGTTAAACAATCGAAATGTTCATATATGACTCATGGGACAGTGAAATGGTTAAAAGCTAATGTCAGCTCGTGATAAAGACAGTTTAACCTCTCGACCCCCTGGCGGTCTAATGAGCCGCGGCCATATTCCGTCAAATCCCTAGCGGTCTCATGAGGTCGCACACACCCACAGCACTTTAACCCATAAAAACTTATAAATAGAGACTACTTTTCTATGAAGAAGATTGGCATTATGTAATCAATATGAAATACTCTATCCTCTAGTGCAACAAAAAACTGTTACTCTAAAAATATTTATTTATATTATGCGTTCATTTCGTACGCTATTTTCCCGTGAATGTTACTATGTTGATTTTTGGATTTTTCTAGTGTTTTATTAGTGTTTTAGTATAGTGTTTTAGTATAGTGCCGTATAATAGTGAGCGGGTTGGCTGCGGTTGCCAACCCGCTCGCTAAGCGTGGCAACTATAGCAAATATCCCCCCATGAATAACGGCGGCCCCGCTATTCCTGGCTACGGTGGCGACCATGGTAACGGCGGGCAGGGGGTGCTAAGAATCTCCGGTGGAGGTTCGGTTGCCACCTACGACGACTCGACCTGGCAACATATAACGCACGCACCCTGAGAACTGACGAGAAGATACTGGAGCTGAAAAAAGAGGTAGACAAGTTGCGCTGGCATATTATTGGATTATCCGAGGTCTGAAGAGAGGGGAAGGACACGGTAATCCTCAAATCCGGCAACTTGTTCTATCATCGGGAGGGCGACCATCTATCCCAAGGAGGTGTCGGATTTATCATCCACAAGTCTCTCGTTAACAACCTTGTAAAGATTGGGAGTGTGTCGACGAGGGTCGCGTACCTGATACTCAGAATCACCAAACGGTATTCGCTAAAGGTCATACAGGTTTACGCACTAACCTCGGCACATCCCGATGAGGAGGTGGAGGAAATGTATGAGGATATTTCCAGAGCCATGCATTCCTCCAAAACCCATTACACGGTGTTGATGGGAGACTTCAACGCAAAACTAGGCACAAGAGAAAACGGTGAGCTGAAGTTAGGGAAATTTGGAGTAGGGCAACGGAACCGAAGGGGCCAGCAGCTGAAATAGGAACTCTTTATGATGAACTCTATTATCCGATGGGATGGTAAACCGACACGACCGAAGAGAGATCAGGTGCAGGACCAACGGCTTTACGTGCTTTCCGAGGCACGGGGGTGAGACACCGCCAACTTCCTGACTCCGGGCAACTACTGAGAATTTCTTGACGGAAAAACTAAATAATTAATTTTTTGGCCCGATCTGGGTTCAAATCACCAAAAATCCCACGTAAACATAACGCATATCCCATATCACGTATAGTAGCCAAGCTGCATCGTTTCATGACAGCAGCCTAAATGAAATTACAATTTTTGATTTACGATGGCTTTCGAATATAAACACAATCTTATAAATAGCAGCACAAATTGGTAGCTTGATCAGGGGTAGACCAGGCCTTCATCCGTTACCCGTTATAGCCTATTAAAGTCCACTGCTGAACCTAGAACTCCCCCATAGACTTCCTCATAGGATTGATATTTGCCATAGTTGCCACGATTAGCAAGCGAGTTGTCGACCGCGGTTTTTATGTTAAATAGTTATTAGGAAGACGTTGCTTCCCATCTCCTGATTTGTTTCCTTTGGTCGCAGCAGCAGCACGCCGAATATGTAAGTTCTGGAAGCAAGGAGTGCAACAAACATAAAGCTGTAACAGAAAAGAATTTATTGAAAGGGATAATGAAGATGGAGTACAAAGCGAATAATTGTAATGATACTTAGATAATAATCGTGAGAAGAGGAGATGAAATTAAAACAGTTTTTCAGGTTTCATTGAACTTAAAACCGATGTGAGTATTCGTGCAAATGTGAAACGACAGACAATTGAGATGTTTACAAAATTTCGAAATGTGATCATATTTATGAAAACCAAATATTATTGCGACTTTATTCTCTTTGTCTCTCTCTGTCTCCAAGGCTAGAGTGAATAGGCTTTTGTTAAGTTAGTGCCCTGCACCATCTTAGTCTACATCACCACTTACTATCAGGTGGCATTGTTGTTAAGCGCTGGATGTGTATAATATAAAAAAATCCCATTGATATTTCATATAAACATTACTTATAATAAATATTTATACTTAGGGATTTTGTAAAATTACTATTTAAAATTTTAGGCCTATGTATTAAAATAACTAATAGCTCTACTTATTCAATACATTATTTCAGGACATAATTGGTGGGTAACATATTAGGGATGAGCGTACTAAGTAAGCTAAATGTCTAAAAGGCTTGTCGGTGACATTGACAAATTACGATAAGACTAATCTCAATAGATAGGCGGAGATAACTCACTAAACACATCGACAGTTTTACTATGGACGACATTGTTAATATTAAATCACTTTTCATGACTAGAAATATAATTACATGGTATAGTATTATCAAGTCACGAGAAATTAATATCACCCATCATCATCGTCACCATCATTACCATCATTACAGTCCATCACAAGTACACGGCTAAACATAGACATCTACCACAGATTTCCAAAAAGAACTATACTATAGCACTGACTTCCACAATGTATGTGTACAAACAACCCTTTCTACTTATTGGTAGTGTAAGAGAATTGAAACAAACGGAAACTTTTTTCGTGGCATTGGTATTATAAAAGGAGACTATGATAAATATGGGAAAGGTCTCATGACTGCCAATAGATGGCGGTATAAAATATATTTAGTTAATGTATGGCAAATCTAGGCACGCTAAACCGAACTTGGTTTTAAATAAATAAATAAAAAAGTGTGCGGATCACACGCTACAAAAGTGAAAACTTCCTATTAAATTAAATATAAAATACAAATACTTTAAGGCAAGTGATATTTAATTTTATAATTTAATGAAAATAATGAGCAAATAAAGTAAAAACTATTGGGTATTTACAAGGATTTATCGTCTGGTTGGGCTGAATAAATGTTTAGAAAAAATTGTAAATATACATTAAATATAGTAACATAAATAAATAAATAATACATAAACAATTAAAAAGAATAAGCAAATAAATTAAACGTTATGATTTCTTATTTTTACGCGAACAATACACATTGAAATAATACTAGTTTTTACGCGTATATTTAACTTTTTAAATACCCGACGTTTCGAACGCTTTAGAGCACTCATGGTCACGGGCGAGATTGAGA